CCGAAAGCACTCATAGTATTTATTGAGACTATTCCGTGACTAAAGTTCAAATATAACTAAAAAACTTGACATAGTTATTAAATACTTCACGTATCATCAATATTATAATACAATGTCAATGTAAGGAACATGATGGCATTTGTACATGCAATAAACTTTGTTAACATTATGTCTAATTCTAAGCGTTTAAGTGTAATATGGTAAGCAGTTTTTTCTGTGGTTCTTGGAATTATATTCAGCGAATATTAATTCTAGAGTCTTCAGAATTATCAGTAGATGATAATTGCTCTTGGAATATTAAACATTGTAATTTAGTTTCTCGCTATACATTATTCATTTATACAGATTATGATTATAGAAAATAAACTAGAGGGCATACGACCATGGAGACATACCTCCTCCGGCGATATTTTCACAGAGGCATAGTCTGCTGTTATTTCCAACTGTCAACAAAATGTAAACTATTAAATACTATGGAGGGGACAAATATGATGAATGGTCACACTATCTGTCACATAAGGCTCAGCTCAAAACAGTAGCTTCCTACTGTATCAGTGCTGAGCAGTCTGTGTAGCTACTACTGCAAGCTAGTATCTTCTGTAGCAGTCTCACTTGGAGGTGTTTTCCTATCCACCCTCTAATCTAGATCTCGCCTCGGCAATTTAATTTTCTCTTACATTTGAAAAAAAAGTATTTTCTGGTCAAAACTACGCATATTTTCGTGATGCACATTTGCAGACGGCTGCCAAATGCTTTTGAAAACTATCCCAAGCGACAGATATCTACGTCACAGGGATACAATTGATGATCCCATGTTATGATAAATGTCTCAATAGTGATTCGTTCCTTTGTGGATAAAAAGTGCAGCATGTGATGTATTTGCGGCAATAAATGGTTTCCTTGAAATAGTGCATTCTTTTTGTTGTTGTTGTAATTGTGTGGTTGTTGTTGTTGATGATGATGTACAGAAACCTACTTACTAAATGCGCATCCTACCTCCAATTGGCGGGACGGGAAGCTACGAGGCAGAGATGGACGCGATGTCCATTAACCACTACGTAGTGAATAATTTTCCATCTTCATTTTCAGTCTTATTCATGAACAAAGAACTATCTGGAACTGCAGATTGTAAACAAGAAACTTTTGTCGACGATACGGAAGGAAACACACGATTGAAATTTTATTTCCAAATAACGCGGCTTCACCTCGAGTCTGCTTCGGATCTAATTCATGAACAAACAACCGCATGGTACTTCCGGTAGTAGGTAATAAAAATTCGCCAATACGGAGCGAAACATACACATGAAACTTACTACCAAATAACGAGGCCTCCCTCCGCCCAGCCTCCCATCCTCTGCCGCACAGTGGGCCAAAGCGCACACTGAAGGAAACGTTACTGCCACCAACAGCGAAATGCGAACTGGAAATGTAGCAGCTGGCAGCTCTGATCGGTAGTTTTCCGTGGTTTCTCCGATCAACACCAGGCGAATGCAGGAGCAGTACCTTAACAAACGGGCCACGGACCGCGTACGATGTTTCCTTCCTCTTCCTTGCCCAATCCTCATCCATTACACTCAGAGTAAAATGCACTACACTACCACACTTGTGAGTCCAATCGGGAGCTTATAGCTTGTTCCGACTGGGGCGGTGCCGCGATGGCTGGAGATACCTAATTGGAAAAAAAATCTCGCCTAGTCGACGGTAGGTCGGCGCCGGATCTCGCTATACAGCTAGAAAAGACCACCGCCACCTCCCATGTAAATCATGCACTACACTTACGGTACTAATGTCGCAAGTAATTTACAGCTCACTAACAGCTCACTAATGAATCAATCAAGCGAACTGGAATAAGTTGTAAATTCATAATTCGATCTTCATTAACTTACGCCTGCCTAAGACGAAGTGATACCGCAATAGCTAATCTTCACATACTGCAAGTACTTCAACGAACTTTCTACAACTAATATTACAAATTTATTGACACACAAGAAATAATCGAATTTTAAATATATCCAAAGAACTATTAAAAACTCAGATTATTAAACTTTAATATCGATTTATTCTCTTCTTTCATCTTGCCTGGGTACTCGGGAGTTTTGTAAGTGCTCGGTCTGGCTAGTATTTATAATTTTCCGTGTTTTTTCCGATTAACACTGGGTGAATGCGGAACCTTAACAAACGGGCCATGGACCGCGCGCGATATCTTTCTAGCCCTATTCTCGTCCCTTACTTACACACTCTTTCAGTAGCATGCACCACACTACCACACACGCCGAGAGACCGGTCGGGAGCTTAGAGTGTGTCCCGGGCGGTGCTCCGCTTCTGGGAGATATCTGGTTGCGGAAAATCTATCAAGCCGACCCAGGCTTCGAATGTCGTCTACCAGCCTGCGAAGAAAACAGCCTCCCCCCCCCAAAAAGAGCATACACTACACTTACGGGATTAATAACCTTATCCGTTGACGCGCCCGAAATCACTAACCAATCACTGCTGTTGGATGACTTAATCATTTTTTTTGAATAGTGGAAATGCTTCCTGTGGAATCAGAGGAAAAAAAGGAAACAATTTCGCGCGCCTTGAGTGTCGTTTACGCCCACCGCTCGCGCCGCCGCCGCCGCCGCCGCCGCCGCCGCCGGCGTCCCGGCGCCATTTGCATATCGGCCGAAGCACGCGCGCCCCCTCAAGATCCGACTGCCGTAATGAGCACCGCAAGCAAACACCCAGGAGCCGATATTAGGCGGAGCAGCCGCCGCGCAGCCACGCGTAGAGCGCGTTCGCGACGCCGCGCCTGCCACGCCGCCGAGCGGCCGTTTTCGCCTCCGACGGGGAAATATTCCAGGGATAAAATATAGTCTTTAGGCTAAAATTTGAAGTCCGGGAAAACGGAAATTTACGAAATCCCCCAATATGCTAAGTTTTTGACGCATTCGGAATCAAAAAATACTCACTGGCGACAAACTACAATAAGGCGGAGGTCACAGTACAGCCGACTTGGGTCGAAATTTCGTTCGATCGACGTCTGCCGGCCAAAATCAAACGTAATAGATCTTCGTCAGACAACCGATGTTTTTGGACACCGGCGGAAGAGGTCATCCGATAACCATTTCTATAAAGTTTTGACCGAAACCGGAACGTCGAAAAAAAAAGGCAGACCGAAATTTCAGCCATTGTGACCGCCGCTTAAGACAAGGCAAAATTTCAAATTAACGAAGGAAACAATAACAAAACAATTTGACTTTTCCGGGGTAGAAGGCATCCAACAGGAGACTCTTGAAGAAAAGCGCATCTTCACTTCAGTTTTACTCAGAAGGCTATCCCTACTAACACTCAGTAGATAAAATCAAGCGATTACCGTCAAATAATAGACTTACTGTTTGAAGATATTATTTCCTAAGTAACGAACCTTCACTAAAGAAAATTTGTCGGAAAGTGAACGTTTTCATTATCAGCCTTAAAGCTGAAAATAGAACACAACTGTTTTCGGATAGGAACGCACATTTAAAATGGGAGAAACGCAATACACAATATTTATCAGTGTGATATAAGAGTTTGAAGAATAAATTGTTATTAAAAATAGAAAAAAATTGAAATGAAGAAACATCCCTTTGGAAATGAGCTCCTTAATTGGCGAAGTATCCTACGTCATGATCTCTCTAATTTAAACATTTCTTTTAGCCGGTGTCCACGCTTCTTTTTAACGAACGACTCCGGAGTTTTAGCCAAAACGCGCATGCGCAATGGGAGCTTCCAAACACCGCTTATGCGCAGTGTCACCAGATCTTTTGAGTCGTTTGTCAACATCGAGTCGAGTCACTCGGGGCTCTCTGGTGTAGAGCAGTCGCTATCAGAGTGAAGCTTTTCCGAAATAATTAATGACTAACTTAACATTTAAATTTGTTGAAAAATAATTAAATTTGTTGAAAGAATTTGTTTTCCCGACCTGGATTCGAATCTGGCCGTTCTGCTTTACGTCCAGCTGCTCTAAATACTAAACTACCGAGGTAACCAGATTTATATATAACTAAAAAACATTCACATTTTAAGGTGATTTAATCCTATAATTTTCTATACGGAATAAGTTTTTATCTTCGACACACCAATTGTCGCTTGCTGGTAGAAGACTATTTTTCATGCACAGATTTTTATGGAATAATGTTGCCAAAAAATTCAAATTTTTAGACAATCAGTTTTAACAAAGTAAGAAAACAAGGAATATCAATATTTTTGATGTTATTTGCAATGCGACATTACTTATTGTTGGTTAATAGGAAGCAAATGAAGCTGGAGGAAAATTAAATTCTACTCTCTACGTAGAAAACTATATATTTTTGTTTAGAACGGTATTCCAGAAAATCAAAACTGATTTCAGTGCAGTGCCTGTGATTAGGAGGTCATGGGTTTTGAGTTCCAACGATGGGATTATTTTCGATACTTGTTACAAAGCTATATTGAATTCAACTGTTGTGTAGAGGAGAATTCTATTGGCCAGCGGCTCTTATCGGTAATTTTCCTGGGATTCTGCGATGAATTCCAGGTGAATGCCGGAGCAGCACCTCGGTCATGAACCTCGCGATATATTTGCTTCATCTTTCTTGCCCCATACTCACTCCTTACTTACATACTATCACACGTGCACCACACGTGACGGGAGACCAGTCGGGAGCTTAGAGCTTGTCCCCATTGCGGCGGTGCCTTGTTGAGAACTGCCTGGATGGAGGAAAACCCCGCAACCCAACATGTAGATCGACACCGGATCTCGCTAAGCAACGGGTAAAGTTTTACCACTGCCCGTGATAAAAGAAGCATGCACCACACACACACAGACACACACATACTGGCCGAATGAGTGTACTCACCTTGTGGTCGAATGAGTGACATACCTTGATGGCGGAAAACCCCGTGACCCAACATGTATATCGACGCCGGATCTCACCGGATGAAGTACGCGTCCAGTTGCCGCGCTAAAAGCCCACGCACAGGGGCGGAAGGCGCGTACTCACCCGCTTCTTGTTGCGCATGAGCGCGGCGTCGCGGCTGCCCTGCGCGTTGCCCGGCGCGCGCGACCCCCACAGGCGCAGCGCCATGCGCGCGTACACGTAACTGATGACGCACAGCGGCGTCACGTACTGGATGAGGAACAGCACCAGGCGGTACAGCCCCATCTGGCGTGGGCTCATCCCCACGATGGTGCAGAACGGCTTGGTGGTGCAGCGCCCGCCGCCTGCGCGCACACACACACACTCACATACACATGCACCACCGAAACTCCTTCGGATCTCCATCGAATAGACGTCAACTGGTGGCGTGCGGTCTCCGAGACCGCAAACCCCATTATTTTTTGCACATCGTAGGACTTTTTGTTGTTTTTTTACTACCTTATTATCTCCTAATAAACAATATTCATGTGTGGGGTAGCGATTTCATTATCTTTCAGGGTCAATTGATGTTTTGGAGCGGTCTCGTTGACCGCACATCATTTCCTACCGGACTTTTCTTCCAGCAGGGAAAATGTGTGAACGTGCAGAACGATCCCGGCAGGTGTTTTCCGACTATCCTACTATGAATAGTACAGTTTGTCAGGCGATAATGGAAAGCGCTAATGGCATTGACTGTGATGTGAACGGTATTTTGCCTTTGAAAAACGACACGATACGAACACCGATGAGGAAATGCATTAAGAAGGAAAAGGGAAGTAAAAAAACATTGGAAAAGATAACAACAAAGAAGGAGGATAAAGGAGAAAATATAATTAATACCATAACTCTTTCGACAGAAGGTGGGTATTTCTAAGGAAAACAGACACATATGTTTGTACAAGAACCTTCAATTCAGAAGTTAAAGTACGCATTGGACCTGTTTTATTATCATATTTAAACGAGTGTGTTTAATACAATGAACAACATATTAAATCCATTCTATGAGTTATTAGATAATTAATCGTAAAGAAAAAATATGGAACGAATAGTAATTAGAAATTTACTGGATGAGTAACCATTATATTATTACATATTAATGTATTTATTTACACAATAATAACATGGGGAAATGTGGAAAATGTCAAGTTAAAATGAAATAACGCACTATTGAATGCAAATCTGTAAAATTTCTTTCTATGAAAGGAAACTGCATCTATAATACAAATTTTCAATGTGCACAGAAATTGACAAAAAACAAACGAATTATAGACCCTCCAATCATATGAGAGGGATCTGTAATTTTGTTCGAAACCCAAGAATTAGTATAGAATACAAAGAAAACAATAAAATTGTTTCAATTTTAACCAAAAAATACCAATTTTTGGTTATGTTATTGCACCTATTCTCGTACTGCGCGTAGCGACTGAATTCTGAACTCAGTAGGTCACTGTTCAAAACACAGCTGGAGCCATGAAACAGAAAGAGCGCCAAGAAGAAGCGACTAGCGGCTTAATAGGTGCGTTTCTGCGGCTAAGTTTCCATTTTAACGTTCAACAAACGTTTATATTCAAGGCAGGACTACAATATTTTTACAGGAAGAAATGAATGCGTATGGTCACAAACTAGGAACCGGAGGCGAAACTAAAACAAGAAAGATTAAGTAAGTGAAAACCTAATTTAACTTCCAGAAAGTTACTTCCGTGCAAAAAACGGGGTGTATTTACAAAGTGACCAATCTATTGCGTCAGCAAACTGGCGCCTTCCTCACCGTTCAAACCTCAATTTTGGTTACACAAATGTGGCGTCGATGTAGTTTCACAAAGCGTTTGACCTCTGGGAGCGGAATGTACACTGAGGTCATTTCAAGAGACTTAGTCGAGATCCCAGTGAATGACGGCCGGTCACAATTGCTTGCTGTAAGCGCAGGCTCTATCCACAAACTCTGCTGCGGACATTGTGCCAATGTGCTGTCAATTAAGGGAGCCTATTCTGCCACGTTCTCAGATGACTAACTCAATAACAAAGACTTGGGCGTTTCTGTCTCGTAACAGAAGTTAATTTCGTGAAGTTTGATAACAGAACTATGCAAACAGAGAAGGTAAAGTTGTAACAATTTCATGGTATATGATGATACAATGGTAAAACATATTTAGTTAATAGATAAAAGTATAATTCTTAAGAATGTAAAAAAATCACTACATTTCAATACAAATCTTTTATCCATTCTATTTTACGTAGAAAGTTTACATTTAAAAGGGTAAATACTTGGAAATTATTAGCATGTGCATGCCAGGTCCTTTTGAAATAACCTGGGGATGTACTTACTGCCTAGTTTTATTCCAATAAAGCCGCACTTTCTGTTCAGACTAACTTCGGTATCGTTTCAACAAATCCCAAACTTACAATCCACCGAAGCAGAAATACAAATGCTTTACACGCTTTACATCTCTTTTTAAACGAATGAAATGAAATTGCTGTTCAGTTTGGGGCTTGTCCCTATTGTGAGAGCAGACGATAAAAATTATGCAATAAGCGAAAAGTGCTCACCGACGGAACCAAATATTGGACCTCGGGTGACTCGCTGACGCAATGACAAAACACGACGTTCGCCCTCTCTCTGTCATTCGGTAAAAAGCGCACTTGGCAAAATGCTCACCTCCGTGCGGTCGAAAAGCCGAACTGCGCAGCATGAACAAGCACCGGCTAAAAATATTCGGTCTTCCTTTTCATTTTGGTTGCATAACCGTACTTCCTGTCCAACCTCATACATGAATATTTAATTACCCAAATAGTACTCATTAATACTCATTAAACGAATCTCAGTATACTCATTAAACGAATGCCGCATTGTCTGCTATTTCTGCTTTGTGGTTTTCGATAGACGTGCTCGGCATATTTATGAACTTTGTTGGGAGTTCTATATTAGGCAATGGAATTAAACTTAATTACTTACAGCGTTTCAACTTCTTGTTTGACTGGGAAAAAATTGGATTGAGCGCAGATACATGAATGTCAGGTGAAAAAAATAATTTCCAGAATTGTGAATGTCATGGAATTTCGACCCCGTTGCATGTATGAAATGCCGGGTAATAATCGTTTTTTGGCTTAGAGGAGGTCAGGATCAAAGTACGTCCTTTTGTTTGGGGAAAAATCAGCGTCCAATATGGCCAAACACCGTAGAAAATCTTTTGAAATAATTTCTTACAGCTAGTGCTAAAAATGGTGGATTGTAATTAAAACTCTATTAGCGCATGCTGAGTATGTATCTCCCCTTGAAAGTAAATATATGATTACAATTCTACTCCAATTACATTAAACACTTTTTAGCATCACTTGAGTATTTCATCGCTCATTTTCGTCAGTGTTTGAGGTTATGAGAAGCCGCTCGGAAGGCGAGAGGAGCGCTGCGGGCGGGTACTCACGGAACTCCTCGACGAACTCGACGCGCTGCACGACGACGATGGGCGCGGCGAGGGCGCCCGCCACGCCCCAGATGGCGGGATGCACAGCTTGGCGCGCAGCTTGGACGGCGGCGCTGCGCACACGCACACCAGCATCGAAGCGTTTCCGCCCCTCACGGCACAAATACAGGGGGAGGAGAGAGAGGGAGGAGAGAGAGGGAGAGAGAGGAGAGAAGAGGGAGAGAGAGAGGGGAGAGGGGGAGAGAGGAGGGGAGAGAGGGGGAGGAGAGGGGAGAGAAGGGGGAAGAGGGAGAGAGAGGAGAGAGGGGGAGAGAGGGAGAGAGAGGGGGAGAGAGGGGAGAGAGGGGGAGAGGAGGGGGAGAGGGGGGGAGAGAGGGAGAGAGAGGGAGAGAGAGAAAGGGAGAGGGAGAGAGAGAAAGAGAAAAAATAGAGAAAGAAATGAAAGAGAAAGAGGGAGAGAGAAACAGAATGAAAGAGACAGAAAGAGAAAAATAGAGAGAAAGAGAGAGTAAGGAAGATAAAGAAAGATAAAGAGAAAGAGACAGACAGAGAGAGAAAGAGACAGAACAAGAGAGAAAGAGACAGAGCACGAGAGAGAAAGAGACAGAGGACGAGAGAGAGAAAGAGACAGAGAGCGAGAGAAAGAGAAAAAGAGAGAAAAAAATGAAAGAAATGGGAGAAAGAAACAGGATGAAAGAGACAGAAAGAAAGAAAGAAAAACAGAGAGAAAGAGAGAGTAAGGAAGATAAAGAAAGAGAAAGAGAGAGACACAGAGAGAAAGAGACAGAGAGAGAAAGAGAAAGAAACAGAGAGCGAGAAAGAGCGAGAGCGAGAGAGATATAGATAGATATATATAGAGAGAGACCAAATGAGTACAGAGAACAGATGTGAGCGAATGGGAATGAATGTGAGAGAGTTGTAGAGAATGTGAGCACTTGAGAGGGTATACGAAGAGTGGGGGACAACAACAGGCATGAAGAGAAATGATCAGGTCTTCCCGTGGGAAGACGAGTATGAACGAGTGAGTGGGACTGAGCCATTGCGAGCAACTGAAATCATGTGTAATCAAGAGAGAATGAATGAATTTAAGGTTGTGCGATCGACTGTGACTGGGTGCGAGTGGATGTGAGTGCTTGTGAACGGATGTGAACAAGTAGTAGAAGATACGAGCACTTCTGAGCGAACAGATCCAATTGATTAGCGATTAACGTGACAACTACTTAGGGCATTAGTCCCGTATGTATAGTACATGTTTTTGCCCTCAGGAGGCACAGTGAGAGACCCGACTTTCTTTATTCACTCATAATATTATTGTTATACTTTACTGGTGTGAACGCATTTTTCTCATTATCATGTAATGCAGTATATGTATGCGGAAATGCATATCAGATAGGTCTTTGAAAATTATATTCGTAGGTAAATAAAATTAGCTCGTATAGGATTTTATGGTGTGTTTTTTCTGTACACGACTTTTGATTCGAAATTCTCTTTCGAAATGATAACTCTGATGTCGGTTTCATGAAAATTTGAAATGATTCGTAATTTTTCAAGATAAAATTTAACCTTAAGCTTCCTCGCTTTTCACCCGATTACTACACTCAACCACTTTTCCTCCCCCCTCTCTCTCTCCCTATATATGTTAGAGTGAGAGAGAAAGAGAGGGAGATAATGGCTAATGTCCGAATCTGGCTGGTTTCCGTATTGCCCTGTTGATATTCAAATTATCCAAAGTGAGTTAATCTAGGCCGAAGTAAGACAAGCTGACAACAGTAAACACGAGGTGACTACATTAGGTGATAAATACCTTACGATGACGTTTAATAAACAGAGTGATAAACAGAGATCAGACTGCTCGTGGGTTTGTAAGGTTAGCGCGAGGCAAGTTGTGTAGTTCCGAGTGCGTGTGATGGGTCTCGATGTGATGTGATCCAACCTAACCTAACATCACTAAATACAGCAAATTACGTTTCGTAACGAATATTAGAATTCGCGGCGAGGCCTTAGGGATTTCTGTATCAACAATCTCGACACAGTGCAATACAATTCGCTTTTATTAAGCCAAGAATGTGTGGCGAACTCAAAAGATACCTCGCTCTCGGGCAAATCACCTTTCATTTGTTTGGTGGTTATTTTATCGTAATTTAAACATCTTTACATACCTCGCGCAACGAGTTATAAAAGATCGCGGCAAAACGCAGAATCTTTGAAATAGTACAGTGACTCTTCGTCACGCTAAAAGGCGTCAAACGTTTTGCGGAAAGAAATGTTTGCTGGGAGGAAACACTTCCTTGCGGGTTCATATAGTAAGTATAATATTGCGGAGTCGTTACAAATAATGCGAAATAGTGTGTGCTGTTGGAGCACCAATAATTTTAGAACAGATTTAATTTAAGACGAAAATCCTTCATCAATATTGAAGTTTTGCAATGTTAACTTTTTTCAATTTTCGAAAGAATAGACAGTTTGCCGGAAGCTGGACCTTTATATTTTCTTATCGTTCTTTGGTACATGCAAGAAGAAAATATACAGAAAAGATCTGGAGCTCTTTTTTTTAAATAATTGTTTAAAAATTTCCTACATTTTATGAATTATGCGCAAACTATTCATATTTTCGAAAAATTATACATGATCTTATTTCAACATTTTTCTTTGAACATATTTTATTAAGGAAAAATCTCCATCTACAATACGGTAGATGCAGAAAGTCGCCAAAAAGAAATGTTGCAGTTTAAAAAAAATTAAAACAATTCAATAAAAATGCCATTCTTTTAAGAGTATTTTACGCTATCCTTGGACAAAGTTTTGATCGAAAATTTTGAAAATAATTTTTTAGAGCTTCATATAAATTACCCAACAAATACAAAATATCGGTTTCTTATTCACACAGCTTCGAGTTCTTTTAAAACCATTGGAGAATATCAATGTTTGAGAAAATTATAAAAAATGTTTAGGCACTAGCGTTGACCAGACTAACAGACGAATGAACGCTAAGGCAAACAGACGTTTTGCCATCAATCCACTTTGCGGTATCAAAACATGGATTCTGAATACACAACATGTTAGAGAAAGTAATTTACTACATATAGGAATAACAAACTAAAGACAGAGTTAATATAGCGGCTTGGGGACAATCTTGGTTCAAATCGCACACGATCCCTTGAAACACGGCGGCCATTATTTCACAAATATTACGCTAGGAGCACAGAAACTAGGCCGTTTGTCACTTAATGTATATCTAGGCCGTTGTCCTCGCAACTGCTCCTAACCTTTTTCGTACTCTCGCTGTATCGTAAGCAGAATGACTCTGAATAAATGTTACAAATGTTTTGGGGATGTAGAGGAGTCCTAAAGGATGACTTACTGCAAATGAACATAAAAGCCAGATATTTCATGTTACACATGTTGCATTTGCAATTGGTTATTTGGCATTTACGAGTAGTATTCTTCTGGTCTTACGCAGTGAAGATTTCATGGTTCTTCCAATCACCTGGTCATAAGGGGTTGCTTAACATCAACTCAAAATCAAATATAGTGACTTTATCTCCGAAATATGAAATTTCCCACTGATGTTCTTTAGAAAAATATGATAACTTTCGACTCCTCTTTGAGCGCTCGAAGTTTGTGACTTGTATTCTGAGACACCTGGATATGAAGCCGAAGAAATTCCCATCAAAGGGATCGTGACTAGATGACAAATTAAATATCACTTAACGATTCTTCTTGTAGACTTAAAGAAGAAGGTTATATCATTATGCTCGTTTAATATTATATCCGTTAAGATACAGTTCCATTATAGCACTTTTTTTTGATCAATGAGAGACGTTTACAAGTGAGGATATAACAATCATTAGTTGTCATTCTATATCACTTTCCTTGGATTGTACATATTCCTGGTTCGAAACAACCCGTGTGGGGGTAAAGGTAAATCGCACGTGTCTTCCCCTGTTTCCAAACCTCAGAAGAAAACCAAAATAAACAATATGAGGTCAGCCTGAAACCCGAGGTCGTTAAGCTGCCTCCTTCCTGCAGGGTCGCGGGTTCGAATCCCAGCTGTGGCATGGGTGCTTGTGTATATCTTTACCGTACTGTTAACCTCCAATGAGTTGTCGCTATATCACCTTAGCAGTTGAAAAGCCAACTTTAAATAATTTAAAAAAATTTATATGACACTAAATAAATTATTAAGCTGATAAACAAGAACAGAAATTGAATTTTGAGTTTTCTTTAATACATTTAATTTTAACTTGACTTGTGCAGTTCATGTTTGAAGTAAGAATGTGCTTATTCTTAACCAATGACACCTGGAACACGTAGTTGGCTGACCGCTAGGGAACTTTGGCTGAATACTGTATCCCACCAGCCATGTAACTTTTATGTAAAAGTTTTAGTTATCATTAGTTCTGGAAAAAATATATCCTAAGATTACATCGATATCATAAGATTATTACGATAAGGGGTCATTATAATCCATAGGAGTAATAACAGCAACGATTAGTTTCTAAAGTAAGTAGTAAGAAATCTAGTTCACGGCCTCCTAGTAACTACTATCAACATCATTATTTATCATATTTTGTAGGACGAATTTCAATTCCAGGAGTTTATGTCCGTTTGCATATTATTCTGAGTTAGAAATATATAACTCTGTGTAAGACTTCATGACAAGACTTTTATTAAAACTATAAAATGTGTACTACGTTAGAAAAATTCATACATGATTTAGATAATGATTTTTTGTTGTTTGTAAGAAGTGAAAAGCAGTCTAGAAATGGAGGCATTGCGTATCTAATCCTTGCTTCATCGTTTATCAATACCAATATAAATGCCATATTTGTCAAAGGTCGTTTTTGGACACAACTAATCTACATCCATATTTACGTTTCACACGATCTATAGTAATGATATGTTCATTAAAAAACGTGTTATTCACACAGCTGAATTTTGTGTAATATTAAAGTCACTCATACGAATCGCAGCCACCACTGGTTTTGTTTCTGTTTGTTGTTGGGAAACCAAACGCATTAGTTTTGCTATCACCGTAATTGCTTTTGCAGACTGGTACATTCAAACTTAAAAGGTATTGCTAACAAGTGAGGTTAAGTACAATTGTATAAAG